AATTCCAAGATTTGATAAAAGTAATGAATATTTATTAAATAATTATTTATTTTAATATAATTATTATTACTTTAAAGTTTTTTAAATTTTTTTGAAATAAAAATTTCCAAAGTTTATTATTTTAAAAACTTTTAAAGATTTTTGAAAATTTTTTTTTGGGTGGAGATCTTTAGAGATCTCCACCAAAAAAATTTCCTGATGTTATACAACCTTTTTTACTTTAACTTGTTTTCAGCTCACAATTATTAGAAAGATCAGAGGTTACATCTTTATACAGCTTAACTAAATTTGAAAATTGATTTTTAGCTGATTAGATACAATATGAATTAAAAGCTGTTTTATCAATTATGAGAGTGATAAATTTTTGTAATCAGATGGGTTTGAATCTTAAATCTTTTTCTAATAACTTATAAAGTATTACCACTATGCTATATTTTGAGAATTTTTTAATAATTTATAATAATATTTAAATAAAACTTTTTTGTTAAACCTATGAAAGTTTCTAAATAAAATTAATACTGTATTTAAGATATTGGATATTTTTATAGGATTTGTGGATTTGAATTTGATAATTGTCAAATTTAATAGTATTCTAAAAGCCATATTTGATTTTGATATTGTTATAGTTCTAAAAATTAAAATCAAACAAAATCACAAGAAATCATGAGGTTTGGAACACTATTAAAAATAATAGTAGGATATACTTTACTTATTAAATTTAATATAAACTTGAGAATCGAATACAGAATTAAAAAGAATCATTAGAATTCATAGATATTGTTTATGATTTTAATATTATTTTTATTATATATAGCATTGTTTATTGTAAAGAATTAATTGGTAATTATAAAAATATTTTCCATTTTTTGTTTAAAGTCTGTTATAAAAGCTAGATTATTCATATATACAAGAATATTAAAAGCATTATATCTCTGAATTGGATAATATTGAAATAACTTGGTAATAAGAAAATTATAAAAAATAATTTATATAATTGATGATAGTATTTTGTTTTGCTTTACTTTATTTTTAACAATAAATAACTTAGTTAAACTAAATAGTAAATTGATAAATATCTCTTTATTAATTAAAATATTGATAAGAAGGCTGATAACTTGGTATGAACAGTTGATTCTTTTCAATAATTTTTTAATTTCTGATCTAAAAACTAAGTTGAAAGCTTTGGTAATATTAAGAAATACAAATTAGAATTCTTTATTATTGATATTTGCATTTGTAGCTTGAAGAGTAAAATTAACAATTAAAAGTTGTTTATAATTTTTTATTCAAAAAGATTGATATAATTAAATTCTAATAAAATATTGTTTTTTTTAAGAATCTTAATTAGTTTTTTATTAATTAAACTTATAAAAACTTTTTTAATAAAGTTGAAAAAATATAGATCTAATATTAAACAATTTATAAATCCAAATAACATTTTTTAGGATTATAGTAATAATAGTTTGATTTTATTATTTGGATATAAAAGTGGATTGCAAAATCTAGTTAAAAATAATTGTTATATAAAAAATTACTGTTTTTTATTAATTTAATAATTTTATAAATAATTTCTTTAACAATTAAATATTTAAAAAAATTTAAAAGTTCTTTATTTATTTTTTAATTTATTGCCTTAGAGAGTAGATTTTTTTTAATTAGGAAAATCAATAAGATTAAAGTCTTTGAATTGAATAATGTTTTTAAGTATTTATTAATAGCTTCTTAAATAAAATTAGAATTAACCATTAACTAATCATTAGAATTATATATTTTGAAAAGATCAATTTTGGATTTAATTGTATTAAGTACTCTTTTAATATAGTTTTTTAACTTACTGTAAAAATTTTTTATTATATTTTTTAAATTTAAACAAAATTTTTTAATTAATTCTTGTTAAGCTTGAAATAAGACTTTGTTAAATAAGAGTTTTTTCTATTTTTAAAAGTCTTTAGTTAAGATATTAAAGTTATAGTTAGAAATTTTATAAAGGATTAACAGTTTTTTGTTTGAAAAGAATGAAAATATATATCTATTTTTAAGTTGTATTATAATTTTATTAATTTTTTTGATTTGTTTTAAGTTTTTTTTCTATATTGATATAATAATTTTTTTGTATAAAATTAATTTTGATTTTTCTGATATGTATTAATACAAATATTATAAAAACTGTTTCAATTAGATAATAATAAAAGACCAATTCAATGATCTAGTTTTTTGGTAAATTCTAGAATATCTTCTTTTAAGGTTTTATTAAAATTGAATTTGAAAACAGATTTAATATATTTGAATTTAAAGTAATTAAGCTTTATTAAAACAGCTTAATAATTAGTTGTAATAATATCAATATTTTGTATATTATATTAAACTACTTTGAAAGTATAATTTTTTGAGATTTAAATTTAGGTTATATATTAAGTACTAATAGAAATAAAATATATAAATATTTTATTATTACTATTGTTTAATATTAAATAGTTATTAAAGTATTTATAAACTAGTTATTTATATAAAAAGATTTTGACTTTAATTAATAGATTATTTAGTCTATACAAGTTTATACAAGATTTATTTTCAGAACTATAATTATATATTACTAGTTTTCTAAATTAATAATAAAAATAATTTTAATATAAAGTCTAATTTTTTAAATTTAAAAATAGTTTCTTAAAAAAAATCTAATTATTTAATAAAATTTATTTATATATTGATATAAAATAAAATTTATAAAAAAGTAATTGTTGCAGGTTTTTTTTTTATATAAATGAAAAAAAAAAAAGATTTTCAAGAAATTTTTTTTAAAAAAGCTTGTAATTAAATCACAACAAATTAATTCAATTATACAAATAATCAATAAATTATAAAATAAAATTAATTATTTAAATATTATTTTATATATTTTAAAATTTAATAATTAATCCAAATTTATAAAAATTCTTTTGAATCAATCATAACTATATTTTATATTCTTTTGAAATTGATTTAGATTTTACTTTTTTAAAATCTTATTCTTTTGTAATTAAGAAAAAAAGTTTTATTAAAATAAAATTATTTGATAAATTTGAATATAGTAATAAATTAAAAAATTATGAAAATAATAAAAATTCTTATTTTAATGAATTTTTATAAGATCATAATAACATGAATATTGAATACATATAAAAATAACTATTAAATGTATTGGTAGTAAACTACAATGTTTAATAAAATCCGTGCATTTAATGCTTGTCAAAAAAAATAAAAAAAAAATTGAATTTATATAAAATTGAATAATTTAAGATGGTTTTATTAAAATGAAACTTTTTTTTTCAAGTTAGATTTGAAAACTTGAAGTATCGATAACTACAAAGATGAGGTTAATAAATAAAAAATATATATATTAGCCTTTGAGAACGAATAATGATCATGTGATCTGAGAGATAAAGGAGATCGCGCATAGCCTATGAAATTCGAGTATAAACATAAGACGTCACATTTTAGTCTTTTCCATTCTTTCCAAAAAAAAAAAAAACGTGTACGTTTCTATATATATATATATATACGTAATCTTTATTTTCATGGACACCCCCACTTATTCCAGTTGTTATTCCAGTCGTCAAGCTAAAGAAGAAACAAAGTAGCCACTTAAGGTATCGCGATAAATACCTGATCTCGCTTTAGTTGCAAAGAAGTGATTCTGAACAATTTTTCAAATAGTTTGATGGAATCTTCGGAAAACGACCCCGCGTTTGACCAATTTTTGACTTGCAAGTGCAATAGGGTACCACTTAAGCAGATATCGGAAAAACCTGAAAGTCGAGGGAAGGTTTTATTGAGGTGCGAAAATTGTGATTATCAGGAATGGGAGGTGGATGCCATAAAGAGACTTCAAATATTAGGAG